ACACACACACACACACACACACACACACACACACACACACACACACACACACACACACACACACACACAAACAGACGCATTTGGCAGCGCCAGCACTCCTGGGTGTCTGCTGCACACACACACACCCACATACACACACACACATTAAACAAGCAGTCACCCCAGACCCCTGAATGCTGACATCATCATTTATAGCACTGGCGAGTTCAAAATCTCCAACTCTCCAACTTTCTTTTGGTTCAGCATTTCTTCATCTCCACTTCCCTCATTTTTTTTCCCCTCAACATGTTTTTTTCTCTCCTCTCCTTCAGCTCTCTTCACTCTCAAGTTCTCCCTCTCCCTGGGAGTGAGCAGCCTTGGACCGATTCATACTTTTTCCTCTCCCCTGGCCAGTAAATCCAGTCAGGAGAGTTGGAAAGGAAGGAAGAAGGAGGAGAAGGAGGAAGAGTGGGGAGTTTGTGGGTGGGGTGGGGGGGTCTACATGATGAGGGGAAAGGTGATTCAAAATGAAACAGGAATCAAGTTATTAAAGGTATCCATTGAGAGCGTGAGGGAAGAGCGTTGCTTTTTTATTTTTATATATATATTTTTGCAGAATCACATTAGATTTGCTCTCTGGTAATAGGGTCATTTTTTTCATGTGTTTGTGCGTAAGTGTATGTGTGTGTGTGTGTGTGCGCTTGATGTTGAGGACTGACTGCTTTTCCATGTGTTTCTATAAAAGCCAGCCAGCATGAGTGGGCAACAGTACAGACTTCAGACATTATGCACACTCACAGAGACACGTGAGAAAACAAACCTAAATGCATGCAGATGCACCCGTAACGAATATGAGATACTTTGTGTGAAAACTCCGTTTGACCTCCGGCTTCAGAATGCTGTGTGCACAAGACACACAATACAAAGTGTGTGCCTCAAAGAGACTGACAAAACAGACGAACAGAAAAATTGGAGGAAAAACAGAGACACGTGAAGATGAAGTTTGACTTGGGTAACATGCACCCTCTACAGTTTCATAAAATCCAGTCAGCCTTGCATGTTATCAACTCCATGATGGTCCAGAAGCTGTGCTCATTAAGAGTTTCAAGTTTTAAGCTTGTGCCAATCAGTCCTCAACATGAAGTGCTCCATTCTTTAGACTTCAGATCCACTGGCTGCTGCATGATCTCATTTTTTAACAGCTTTTTTTAAACATTTTGCATAATTTGGACTCAAGCGTTCTGAAACTGTTCGGCTTATTCAGGAGACGAACGCTGTGACTTCTTCAAATGTTTTATTTATTTATTTTTTTCCATAAATCTACATTGAGGTTTCTTCAGTTGCTTCATTGTTCTCTTTGACATCTAGAAATACATGATCTGTTTTTGTTCTCTTCCTTAGCTTTTGGCTACCATTCTGCTACTTTTAGCTTTTAGCTAGCCTTTTGCTACCTTTTGCTTTTAGCCAGCCCTTTGATACTTTTAGCTACTCTTTTGCTATAGGTTTTAGTTCCCTTTAGCAAGTTTTTTTTAGCTTTTAGCTCCCGTTCTTCTACTTTTAGCTTTAGCTAACATTTTGCTGCCTATACTTTTAGCCAGCCTTTTGACTATTTCTACTAGTCTTTTGCTACCTTTAGTTTTTAGTTCCTTTTAGCTAGACTTTTGCAGTCTTTAGCTATTAGCTCCCATTCTGCTACTTTTAGCAACCTTTTGCTGTCAGCTTTTGGCCAGACTTTTGTTACTTCTAGTCTTTTGTTGCCTTTAATTTTTAGTTATGTTTAGCTAGTGTTTTGCAACTTTAATCTTTTAGCTAATATTTGAATACATTTAGCTAGTGTTTTGATATTTTACCTGTCATTTAGCATTTTACTACTTTTGTTTTTTAATTATTGTTCTTCTTTTTTTAGCTTTTAGAACAAAGTTACAGCTTCTTTACCTAAATTCAGCAGCTAGTCCGTGCTTAAAATGTTTCCAGAAAGTGGAATTTCTTTGTTGTGGTTTTTTTTGTTGTTGTTACTGCTGTTTTTATTTTTGTTTACACCTGATTATACATTTTCCTGAATCTCCTTACATTCACTCCAGGTAGTGCATTTTGTTGGTGGTGCATGAGCCAAAATTCTGTCTCAGGTTTTATTGTTCAGGAGTAATTGTGGGTTCATTTTGAAATGCCAGAGGAAGTTCAATCCTGCATGCACTTCACCTCCCTGCAAGCCAAAAAATAAATAGGAAAAACTTAAACTCTGCTTCACAACGTCAATTAAATATATCCACAGAGAGAGACACACTCAAGGAAACTCTACACTCCAAAAACACGCATTCTTACATGGTGACCTTACACATCGAGAGCCAATTAACAAATCAGAGTAGATTAGAAGTCGAAACCAAGAGAATACTCGTTTACAGCATCCACGTTGTTTTAAGAGTCTGCATATGTGTGTGTACTATGTGTGTATGGTAATGTGGATGTTGATGGGAGTCTGATAGAAAAGTCCTGGTGACTTGGGCCATGCATCAAAGCGATGTGGAGGAGCCGCACGGCATCTGGGAGCAATAACGCTGCTTCTAACCCTTCATTACCACAAAGACTGGGCCCTGGGTGGCAGCCAACGGCAATTTTCACAACCCTCCGCTCCTCACCTCCCTCCGTTTCTCTTTCCCTCCATTCTTCTGCCATTCCTGTGTTGAGTTTTGTCTTTTTTTTTTTTTCCTTTTTTTGTAATGAAACACAGAGGGGGGAAATCTGTAATTCTTGCATGTTGGGAATGAAGGGGAAAGTTGGGATAAGGCTTAAAAGGTTTAATACACTCGTGTAGTTCAACCAAGAGTGCTTAGACATGCAGGTTAGTCACACGGTTTCCATTCAGATAATATGATAAACAGCCTCATTCTCACAAGAAGAAAAGTTTTTTGAAAAAGGACATGAACTTCATTTAAAGAACACATTTAAAGCATTTAACCTGTGCAAAAGATGTCCTTTGAGCACCAGCATCTGAAGTAAACTTAATTAGTCTTGAAGCCGTTTAGACTTCATTTAAAGCAAGGCCATATGTTGCTAGTGTTCAAATCAAAAACAGAGGAGTTAGGCCAGGAGAGCTGCAATGGAAAACTGCTAAACTGAAACAGTTCTGTGTAAAATCTTGCAGCTGTTTGTGACTCATCAGGCTGCAAGGTTGTGCAATCTTTTAACAAATCACCTTGGCACTGTGCCAGGATCCACACTTTCTAAGAGTTCATTAATTGTATATTTTTATTTTTTTAAAAAGTGTGTTACTTGATAGTGCAGACAAGGTTCTCATTCCTGGTTTAACAGCAATGGTGTCCAGATTCACATGAATAAAATCTTAAATACTTTTTGCTTAAAACAAATGCTAAGTTTAAGCTGCATGGTCTCCTTTCTTTAACTCCTTTTCTTAGCTCCCCTTATGCAAGCTAACACAAATAAGAGCAACGTTTGAAAAAGAAAGCATGATGTCCACAGCCAAAAGGACCTGGTAGGTCCCTTCCCATTTAGCAGCTAAATATTAAGCAAATCATCAAATTTAATCAAATTTGGTTATAAAAAATTCAGTTAAAAATGTGGGTTCTTTATATAATCAATGACTAGGATGTTAATTAAAACGAGGGGGTCCCAAACTATCTGCCGTGTGACACTCCCCAAGGCAGAATGAGATAAAAGTATTTTTAGCATTTTTTTTTGTGTGTATTTCACGGGACTTAAAACCATCAAATCTGTTCAAACTATATTTTATTGGCATACAGTATATTGAGTTTTTTGTTCTGTTGAAGCTTTAACATAAAGTATTCTGTAAAATATTATTTTAAAAAAGTTACTGTCCTTATCCATTCTTTTTTTG